TGTTTATTTCTCTGTGTCCGGATGACATGACCTCAGAGAGAGGTTGCCGGCTTGGAGCCGAAATCTTACTTCCTCCCCACTGGGTAGGTGAGGGCTCTTCCTTCTAGGGATTGGAGAGGATTGTGCCAGGTGAGGTATGTGCCCAGCAGAGCTGGATGTAATCACAAACAAAGGCTCTTGGTGGGAAGGATGAGAGAAAGTGAGTATTAGGGCAAATAGGGCCTGAGTTGCCACATGCAAGCGGCTCTGGGAAGAGAAAAGCTCTGTAAACAATCCGCTTGCAGACAATTTCATGCTTTGAACAATAGGAACAGCCCATGTACAGGAACCACCCGGCGGGCTGACTACAGATCTCACTTCTGCCAAAGGTTCTGGCAGCCTGGGGAGGAAGGGGAGAGAAGGAGGAGGACTTGGAAATACAGCCACAGCCCTCCACCCACCCCTGCGGTGCCAGGGGAAGGGGCCCTGCCGCAGAAGGGAGCCTCGCTGGTGATCGGAGTCAGCGTATTTTTCAGACTTAAGACCGTTCCCCAATTGACTCAGAGCCCATAGTGGTCACCAGGTCTTCCGGGGCATTTAGAAGACTCGTCATCTGTAGAGTGGTGTATGGTTTACACACTGTTTTCACTTAAGATGTTGTGTGTTTTTGCCTCCCTGAGGGTAAGAATGGATGTGGAAGTAATTTCCCTGGGAAGAGGAGTCAGAGAATAAGCATCAGCATCAGCATAATCAGCAGCATCACAGCTCAAGTGTAGTGATCATTTACCAGACTTATTTTCTGAATTCTCACAACCGCTTTCTAAGGGAGGTGCTATTCTCATCCCCAGTTTGCAGATGACAAAACAGAGAGGCTCAGAGAGGTTAAGAGAATTGCCCAGGTCATGCCACTAGGACGTGGCAGAGCCCAGGCTCCACGCCAGCTGAGGCAGAGCCTGCAGGCTTCCGAGTCCCTGTGATACACTGCACGGTCATATCACAGGGAGAGACATTCAACAGGCATAAGAGGCTACTGTGTGTCAATAGCTCTAGACACTGGGGATGCATTCATTCATTCATTCAACAAGTATTTCCTAGTACTCACTATGTAACAGGCACTGTTTTGTGCTTGGAGTACAGCAGTGAGCCAAGCTCTCTGCCCTCCTGAAGCTTATATCCTACCGGGGCAGACAGCACAGCACACAGTATGTTTCAGGAAACTGTCGTACATTAGAAAGTGATAAGCTTTATGGAAAAAATAAATCACAGGGCACAGTAAAGAGTACCAGGAGAGCCGGAGTGGGGGACAGAATGCGCTTGTAAATAAGGTGGGCAGGGAGGTCTCGGTGAGAAAGTGACATTCAAGTACAAACACTAAGGAAATGAGAGAAGCAATGGTGCCTTTACATAGGAAACAGCAGTCAAGGCAGAGGGAATGGACAACGCATGGTGTGTTCAAAGAACAGTGAGAAGGCAGCGTGGCCAGAACAGTGACCACGGTGCAGAGCAATAGTGTCACATGTGGGACCCAGCCACCGCGGGCCTCCGGGGCCATCGGACAGACACTGACTTTCGCTCTGAGTCAGACAGAGAGCCCTGCCAGGCGCCGGGCAGAGGACCAGCATGTTTTGATGTCCGTGTTTAAGCACAGCCCTGGCTGCTGTTTGAAGAAGGAGCCCCAAGCGGGTAAGGGGGAGGCAGGGAGGTCAGTCAGGAGGCCCCTGCAGTGATCCAGGTAACAGGCGACGCTCACTCGGCCCGAGATGGTGAGGAGTCCGATGCTGCAGGTTAACCAGATCATTAGACCAACTGAAACCTGGTGAAAAGAAAGCTGTTTCTATCAAAGGGAAACATTACATAGGAACTTGTGAAGGTGATTTTAAAAACCGAGAAATGGCACCAGCTAGGAATGAACTATGCTTAGGATGACCCCACAGAAAGCATGGCAATTGTAAAAGTAGAACACATAATACAGTCTTTGTTTTTTTTATATCGTTAAGTTCAATGTATTCATGCAAATAAGCAAACCTCGCTAGCAAAGCCGCTTCGCTTATGACTGCATCCTCATGATGGTGCTGTGTGCAGCCCATAGAAAGAGTAATAGTATTTTAGGAACCATTGTTTCTTTGTTTTCCAAGCTGAACTTGAGTTATTTTAATCCGTTGGGAAATGCAAAGAAAGGGAGAAAAGGAAGCAAAAGAATGCATGTATTATTCAAGGTCCCTGCTCCTGTGACTGAGGACAGCTTGTGGCTATGAGAATTCAGAGGAGGTTGGTTTTCTTCTTTTCTTATAGACCTCACCTACAGGACACCACGCTGGGCAGCAGGAGTGGCCAGCTGGGTTTGATTAGCATCTCTAGCTCCTGAGAGGAGGGCGCGTTGTCCCTGGTGAGGAAGGCAATTCATCCTCTCTGAATAGAGCAAAGGAAGTGTTTTGCTGTTAAGACGAACTGGACCATCCTTTGATCTTGTACGGCAGGTGAGTGTAGGAGGGGATGGGCATCAATGATACTTCCTGATGGACTCTGTGCCAGCACTCTGCTCATATTCACCTTTGTACCCAGCTTACAGTCTGTGGCTTCAGCCTGACATTGTTCTTTATTGAGGTGCACACCGTCTTCAGTGCTCACAGTTGGATGACGATCTTGCTTTCTGCTCAGCTACATGCTTAATGGACTGAGAGAAAGGGACCATTATTCTCAGTGGAACTTGCTCTAAAAAGTGGACCCTGATGCTGGATTCAGTTCTGAGCATGACGAGCTAGCCTGGAAGATCCATACACTCCTGCTTGCTGGGTGGCACATGTGCAGCCAATATCAGACTGCAGGTTAAGAATGCACTCACTGCTGTACTCCAAGCAAAATGCGCCTGACCGGCGTGGCTCAGTGGTTGAATGTCCACCTATGAGCCAGGAGGTCAAAGGGTTGCTTCCCAGTCAGGGCACATGCGGCCCCATTCCCAGTGGGGGCGTGCAGGAGGCAGCCCATCAATGATTCTCTCTCACCATTGATGTTTCTATCTCTCTCTCCTTCACGCTTCCTCTCTGAAATCAATAAAAATATATTTTAAAAAATGCAAAATGCAAGTTTCCCTGGAGGAAACTATTATGGATAAATGTCTAAGCTTACTCTCTTCAAAATATGTTTAAACCCTCAAGACATTCTTATTCATTGGGATCACTGTTTCTGGAAGTTCTAGCCACTAAAAGATGAGAAAAATGAAATAAGTAAACAATACTGTTGTTACTTGTGGGAATTGATTAGAAATTAATTAATCAGTAAGGAGCCACTGCTAAAAATCACATTATACATCTTTGAGGAAAAGCTCAGAGAAGATCACCCCTGGAGGGGCAGAGCCTCAGATGTCAACTTGCTCACCTAAGGCAAAAGGAATATTAAGTTTTACACTGAACTTTGTCTACACTCCAAGGTGAGATCAGAAGAAAGGAAAAGTTTGTGAATAAACACGGAGAGCTGAAAACAAAGGCTTCCTTATTTTTCACCATCTCAAAAAGAAATCAGACTTTCCAGACCAAGGATCACTACCATAAGAATCTTGGATATATAGTCAAATTTCTCACATTTTTGACACTCTGATGATTCCTCATATCCCTCCCCCTATTACTACACACACACACACACACACACACACACACACACACACACATTCATGATAAAACTTTAATAAGAAAAGGGCCTATGAGTTTGCTTTCAGGAACAATAGTAATAAGATCCATTCTACCTTACCACCAGAATGTACCCGAAACTCATCTTGGAAGTACAGATAGGTCCAGCACAAGAGAATGGCTGGGGAGACAGGGATGGTGGCCTGAATCTTAGAGGTCATCTCAAAGAATTTTAGAATGATTTTTCTTTTGGTTTCAAAATATCTCCCTCAGAGCTCTCAGTACATGGATCTTTATAAGTGTGTCTGAATCTAAGAAGATTGCTTCATGGCAAGGCATACATTTTCCCTGTTGCCATGGAAACAGTACTGTGCTCATGTGTCAGGAGCTCTCTCACATACACACATGCATACTGTATATCAATATGTTCTCGGGGAAATGCCTTTTATGCTTTCTTTATACTAAGAAAGACATTCAGAGTGCAAATTTTACTAATTCAAACCATCTAATTGTTATCATCTCCTTTGTTGGCATTAAAAATTCTGATTTTAGGTTTTTCTTCAACATAATCTCTGCTGGAAGTGAAATAACCTATTATTTGCCCTATCACCTACCCCAGCCTTTCTCCCACTCCTTAAAGGAACATAGTGTACATCCGAATATATTTAATGTATTATCTTAAAAATAAACCTATTTTGGATGCTACTGAATTTCTTTGATGGGTATAATGATGCATTTCATGTATTTTATTTCCTTAAATATTCTCTATCCAAAATATTTTTTTTAACTGGCAAAAGGGCAATTCCTTGAAAGAATGTTGACAAATCACACATTCACGTGAGTAGGGGACTATAGCTGTCTGGTTTCGTTTCCAATCTATGCAAACTTGAAAAGAAACTAAAGAAAGTCTGAGGCAGACAAGTCATTTATTTTGACAAGGATTCCTGGGCACCTACCCTCTGACTGTATATGACCCAGTTCCCTTGAGAGCTGACTGTGATCATGTGGAGAAGCTCATGGCCAACCACAGGCTGGTGGATGCAGGTGGTGCTTGAGAGTCAGGAAACTGGCCTGGGTTTCACCACCAACTCTGGGCTTTCACTTCCACTGAATTAGGCTGGGGAATCCTAACCTGTAAAATGAGCAACTAGAACTAGACCATCACCCAGCCTCGAGATGCCATGGCTGGTCGGGTTGGTGTGGCTCAGTGGTTGAGCATCAACCCACGGACCAGGAGGTGACCAGGGATTCCCCAGGGCATATGCTGGGGTTTCAGGCTTCATTCCCAGTGGGGGCGTGCAGGAGGCAGCTGACAGATGATTCTCTCACCATTGATATTTCTATCTCCCTCTCCCTTCCTGTCTTCTGAAATCAAGATGGAAAAACATTTTTTTTAAAAAAATGATGCCATGGCTGTACTTCAGCTTCACCGCCAGGCGCAATGGAGGTGCGTGGGAAAATTGCACGGATGGGTGCAAAAGAGTGAGACCAGACCGCCTTCTTACACCGCACAAACTCGGACTCGTCGATTCGAGTCCAAAGGATCTCCCCCAGACAGTGAGGTTGGTGCAGTGGATGCTGTGCGCATCCTTCACGTGCGGTTCGCCCTTCCTGAGCCGGCCAGCTCTACTTCCATCGGGCCCTTTCGTGTGTCATGTCCAGGTTAAAAACAAGCAAGTATTAAGAAACGAGCAAGGCGGAGGAAGTCTCATTTAAACAGTTCAGGCGGCTACCTTGAGACCAGAAATGCTGCAGCACAAGGAACTTCCTTCGGCAAATGGTGTCCCTGGTAGAATCACAGATGACACGTCATGCGTCTATGTCATCCAACCCTCTTAGGTAAGAGGGACTGGAGGGAGGCGGCTGGTGATGCCCAGGGAGACAGCCTGGGGGCGGGGCCACAATGTTTGGAGGGAAATTTTTCTTCCACCTTCTGCCAAGGTCCCGTTTCTGCTCTGTGGCCTCTTGGCTGCGAGAGGAGTGCAGCTGGTGCAGGTGGGAGGAACTCAGTTCCACGAGCGCCTGGAGCGGGGTGGTGGGGCATGGGGGGGGGCATCTTGCTCCTGGCTTCAGGATGCTTCAAGTCCCCCTCGCCAGGCTCAGGTCCCCTTCCAGCCCCAAAGGGCAAGTCAAACCGGGTCTGATCTACAGCCAACGAGAAAAAGAAAAGCAAAGGTGGTGTCTGTGTGAGTGTGTGTGTGTGTCTGTGTGAGTGTGTGTGTGTGTGTCTGTGTGTGTATCTGTGTGAGTGTGCATGCTGTTGCCAGCTGTTCTTTTCTCTGGGATAATGTCCTTCCTATGTCGGTGGAAATTGGCGTTTTGAATGTACATAACATGTGCTCATCTGTAAGTTTCCAAAGTCTGCTGGAAACCCTGAGCTGAAGGACAGCCCTGTTCTTGTTTCCTAGATCTCCTGTGACCTGGTTTTGCCCGTCAATGATTAATTCACTTTGACCGGGAGAGATAATGCCAAGCTTTGGAAATGTACCCAGTTTCTTAAGTGAAAGGACACTAGCATTTACTGAGCATTATACTTTGTGCCAGGAACACGTGGTGCTTTTCATATCTGTGATTGCATTACAATCTTAGTAACGCGACGAGGTTGGAAATATTATGCCCATTTAAAATAAGAGAAATCTGAAGCTCAGAGAAGACAAGTCACTTGAGCAGGTTCCTGAGTTGTTAACCAGCCAAGTCTGGATTTGAACTGAGTTTGAGCCCAAAGTCCACCGTCTTTTAACCCCACTAGTCTATTCCCAGAATGAAACCACAAGACACATATTTGAATGTGGGGTATACTTTTGATGTCCACAGAGGGCTATTTGGGGACTGGCATTTTAATCCTGAGACCTAAAAAGAAATCATGAAAAGGCTTTAGGGGCACAGAGACTCACTGTTATCAGAAACAATCCTGGCTTGACCAGGCCTGGTTAATCCATGACACCAGGGCCTCTTCCTGTCTGTCAAGTGTGTGAGGGAAACTGAAGGGGTCCCAAGGCCAGGGACCAAGGGAGACCCCAGTGCCCAAGTCACACTGTGGCCCTGAGCACATTCCAGAGCTAGACATAAAATATTCTGGGTGATTTCTCTTTTGGTATCATCTATCCTTGATTCTCCCTCTGTCCCTACAAATGATCGATGTTGACTGGATTCATGACATAGAAACAAACAATTCATTTGCCCTCCAGGGACATGACCAAGAATTGCCCTTGTATATATTTAATGATACATGGGCCAGTGTTTATTCCTATATCAGATGCCTTGTTTCATCTGTGATTAAATTCTATAAAAAGGACAAAGAAAAGCTAATGTTCTGAATTTTCAAAATGTTAAGGTTAAGAAATCAGTTCAAGAGAAGGCAAACCCACCCTGGCTGGTTTGGCTCAGTGGATAGAGTGTCAGCCTGCAGACTGAAGGATCCCGGGTGCGATTCTGGTCAAGGGTACATGCCCTGGTTGCAGGCTCAATCCTCAGTAGGGGGCGTGCAGAGGACAGCCGATCAATGATTCTCTCTCATCATTGGTGTTTCTATCTCTCCCTTCCTCTTTGAAATAAAGAAATAAAAATATATTTTTTAAAAAAGAGAAGGCAAACCCTTTGGGCAGAACAACCAAAAGTCTCTATACCCCTGGTTTGCAAACCTTAGTAAAAAATGTGGAGTCCTGGCCCTCATGCCTAACTGTTTCTATTTAGTAGGTCTTGGGTGGGACCCTGGCATCAATGTTTAAAAAACAAACCAGGGAATTCAGTGCAGGCAAAAAAAATCTAAGGTACACACATTGGGAACCAGTTCTAAGATACATGTCATCCAAGGGGGATAGAATCATTTATTTGCTAGATGGAGGTTTACCCGTTATTATTTTTCTTTTCAATGAATAGAGATAAAGGACAAGCACTTTTTGACTCTAATGCTGAAAGGAAACTGCATAAGCCGCCAAATAATAACTCCTTTTCTGCATGTGTGTCCATATTTTTAAAAATGGGTCAAAGAGAAGAATCCTTAGCTGTAGAAAATTCCAGAAGGTTGAGGTAGGGAGCGATAATCAAGGAATGCTAAGGACCCAAGAAAAGACACCCTCACACAAACCCTTCATAAGGACAAGAACAAGGAATGTGCTAGGCCCATCAGCATGAAGGCCACAGATCTGGGCTGAGCAGTCACCCTAATTCAAAAGTCCTTTGGAATTTCCAGCTGCTTCTGTTTTTATCAAGTGTACAAGTCAGCCTATCTTGCAAATGCTGCACGAAAATGCCAGCGTCCTGGCTGGCTGCCATGCTTCTCCAAGGTCACACACACCGTGAGCAGGGCGGTCTTCATGGGTGTTCGTGGGCAGGGAGCCATTCTCCTTGATCAGCACCTGGGCTGAACCAGTTGTCAAATATACTGAACGCCGTCCCTAACTGTCCCAGCACCTCTTGGGCAAGTTGTGACATAGAAGGTCACAAAGAGCAAAGGGAGGTGCCTTGAAGGACAGCTGGAACCTGAGGCAAGGTGGCAGGAGGAAGAGCAGGGCATACAGCTAAAAATACTCAAAATACTGTCCCCAACTAATGGGAAAACTAGGCCAGGGATGGGAAAGTTTCTTCAGGAGACTCAAGGCTGAAAGTCAGGTAGTGGCTCCCTGGAGTCCTGAGCTGAATCAGAGTCAGAGATCACAATCTCAGCAGTGATCATCTACCGTGATTGATTACTGATGTCTGCCAAAGGTTCAACAAGGGGTGTGTGTGCATGTGTGATATGTGTGTGTGTGTGTGTGTGTGTGTGTGTGTGTGTGTGTGTGTGTCTGAGAGAGAGAGAGAGATGCTCTAGTTGACATGGAGCTACATTTTATTTTTAAATTTATCTTTATTGTTGAAAGTATTACAGTTGTCCCCTTTGGGGTTTTTTTTTTTCCATTGACCCCCCCCTCCTCCCCAGATCCACCCTTCCCAAGCCTTCGCCACATTATTGTCTGTGTCCATAGGCTATGCATATATGCATTTAAGTTCCCGGGTTAATCTCCCCCCCTTCCCACCCTCCCATCCCCACCTTCCCTCATGAAATTCATCAGTCTGTTCATGGTTCTGTGTCTCTGGATCTATTTTGTTCATCAGTTTATTTTATTCATTAGATTGACATGGAGCTACATTTTAAATCTTTGGCCTTTACTGATCTTTCTTTTCAAAGACACACAATAGCTTTTCTCTTTCTCCTCATGAATATACATGGCCATCTACATGCTGCTTGAATAAGAGATTGATAGTAGTTTAGGCAGAATCTCTCAGAGGTATCTGGGCTAATGAGCAGTAAATGCCACTCAACATATGTCTCTAAAAGCTATGAACAGGGAAATCCCAGAACTTGGCTTTCCCTGTATAGTTCCTTATTCTCTTTGCAACAGATGTCCAACACATCAGGTTCTCCCATGCCCTGGAACCAACCGTCACCCTCAGATCCCCTGAAGTGGATCATGACTGTGGTTAGATTTACATCTGTCCCTGGACTTCACACAGAACAAAGACATGGTAGATTAATACAAGGTATGACTGAAATCACCAGCACTTTCCATCATAACTGAGCTCTAGAAATATCTGTACCACTGGATGGTGCTGACATTCCCGATGTGTCCCGCTGAATGGATGGGAAATGGTACAGAGTGGGCCCTCACCTTGCTTCTTTATTGCTCCCCTGCCTGGCTTTTGGCCATTTTTTATAAAATCACCTTTCCTTCCATATTAAATCCTCTTGTCTTCAGGGACACCCTTCTCTTTAGAAGGTGTGTTTTCATTGGAAAACACCCAAATATTCTGACACCAAAGAGTTTGCTTTGCAGTTTGACCTGAAAGTTTTGTGCTGTGGGCTTTTTGGGGGTTGGTGTACTTGTGGTACTTGGTTGTCTTAGGGTTCTCCAGAGAAATAGAACTGATAGGATATATGAAGAGATATCTTTATCTGTATATCTTTATCTATCTACCTACCTTTATATATCAAGACAGTATATAGATCATTATACTGTATATTGAGAGGTCCCACAATCTGTCGTCTGCAATTTGGAGAATGAGCAAAGCTGGTGGTGTAGTTCAGTATGAGTCTGAAGGCTAAAGAACTAGGCAGTGATGTCCAAGGGCAGAAGATGATGTCCCAGCTTCACCTTCTACTCAGTTCCTCAATGTATTGGATGATGCTCACCTGCAGGGGGAGGTGGGCAGGGGCGGGGGGGGGTGGAGAGACACATACACATCTTCTTTACTCAGCATACTGATTCAAATGCTAATCTTCCAAAAACACCCCCAACAGACACACCTGGAAGTAATCTTACCGGTGGTCTGGGCATCCCTTAGCCCAGCCAAATTGATACATAAAAGTAACCATCACCTGGGTTGAGAGCATAGAGCCTTAAAAATCATTAAGATTAAGAGAAATAACGGTATTTTTTAGTTTTAAAAAGAGCAGTGAGTGATTTGTTTGCTAATGCTAATTGTAGAAAAATGCCCCTGGGGAATCGTGGGGTGGGGTGGGGGTGGTGGATACAGAGGAAACAGCAGTAGGATGGAGGGAAGATAGTTTTTGGCCATTTAACCTGTTTTCTATTAAGTGAATTGACAATTCTGTTTGTTGAGCCAAATCTGACTTCAGATCCTAACCCACCATTTATTAGCAGTGTGACCTTGGGCTAATTAATCTCTCTAAGTCTTGTCAATCGTAAAATGGAAGAAATACTAGGTTTATTTTCAAAGAATCAACTTTTGTTTTCATTGATTTTCTCTATGGTTGTTCTATTCTCTATTTAATTTATTTTTACTCTAATCTGTATTGTTTCCTTCTATGTGCTTTGGGTTTAGGGTGCTCTTCTTTTTCT